TCTCCCTCTCTCACTCCCCCTGCTTGTGTTCCCTCTCTCGCTGTGTCTCTCTCTGTCAAATAAATAAATAAAATCTTTAAAAAAAAAAAAAAAAAAGAAATGAAAAAAAACCTAAATAAATGGAAAGACATTTCATGTTCACAGATAAGAAGACTTAATATGGTTAAGGTGAATATACTCCCCAAATTGACCAACAGATCCAATACCGTCCCTATTAAAATCCTAGCTGGTTATTTGCCATAATTGATAAACTGATCCTAGAACTCATATGGAAATTCTAAGGACCCAAAATAGCCAAAACAATCTTGAAAAAGAACAACAAAGTGGAGAATTCATACTTCCTGATTCCAAATCTTACTACAAAGCCACAGTAATCAAGAAAATGTGGTACTAGCATAAGAATAATTATATAGATCAATGGAACAGAACTGAGAGTCCATAAATAAACCTTCACGTGTATAGCCAATTGATTTAAGATTTTTTTTTAAGTAATCTCTACACCCAGTGTGGGGCTCAAACTTACAACCCTGAGATCAAGAGTCATATGCCCCACTGAATAAGCCAGCCAGGTGCCCCTAATCAATTGATTTTGACAAGGGTGCCAAGACAAGTCAATGTAAAGAATAGTGTTCTTAAAAAATGGTGCCGAGGGGCACCTGGGTGTTTCAGTCAGCTGAGGGTCCGACTCTTGATTTTGGGTCAGGTCATGATCTCAGGGTCCTAGGATCAAGCCCAATGTTGGGCTCCCTGCTCAATGGGGAGTCTGCTTGTCTCCCTCTCCCTCTGTCCCTCCCCCCGATCACACACTCAGTCTCTCTCTCAAATAAATAAATCTTTTTAAAACAATGGTGCTGGAACAACTGGTTATCTGCATAGAAAAGAATGAAGCTGGATCCCTTCCTCACACCATACACAAAAATTAACTCAAAACAGATCAGAGACCTTAATGTATGAGCCCAAACTACAAAACTCTTAGAAGAAAATCTTTGTGACGTGAGATTAGGCAATGGTTTTTTAGATATGACCTCAAAACCACAAGCAACAAAAGAGAAAAATAAAGTGGACCTCATGGAAATTAAGAATTTTTAGGCTTTGCAGTATACCATCAAGAAAGTGAAAGGATAATCCTCAGAATGGGAGAAAATATTTGAAAATCATATACCTAATAAGAGATTTATATCTAGAATATATAAAGAACACTTACAACTCCATAATAAAAAAAGACAGCCCTATTTTTAAAAAGTGGGCAAAGATCTCAATACGGTTCTCCAAAGAAGACAATGGCCAATAAGCACATGAAAGATGCAAAACATCATTTGCCATTAGGAAAAAATAAACCAAATCCTCAATGAAATATCACTTCACACACACTGGGATGACTACCATTAACAGATCATGAGGATGTGGATAAATAGGCCAGCAGAGTGGAGAAGGCTGGAGACTGGGTCAGGATTGGCCACTGTTACACCTGCACCATTATATCACATACCATTTGTGGAAAACTGTAAATAAAGAATAAAGAAGTAAATATAATGCTGTTCTAATGAGAAAAAAAAAAGAAGAAGAAAGGACGTGATCAGATTAGCTAATCACACAGAGAACAATTTAAAATCCCTGGAGAAGAAGGCCCTGCAGAGCTTCCCTAACAACAGAACGAAGCACCTCATGGGCAGGAGTGGGCCGTGGGGAAAGGGCCAAGGACTTAACTCAAGACTGCCTGCAGGTTAGCGTGGCCAGTTCAGGGCCCCAGCGCCTGAGCTCACGCACACACGCACGCACACACACCACACAGCCACACAGCAACACACTGGAAGGTGGGTGTGGGGCTGCCAGAGGTCAGGGCTGATTCTGCAGGAACACGGGGCCTCTCAACTAGCACCGAGGGAAAACAACCATAGAAATCCACTTCATTCCTATTTACAGATGAAGGAATGCAAAGATTTGAGTAGCTGGCCAGGGTGGGCTGCCTCTACTGTTTGTCTTGGCTGCCTTCCCCAAAGGTGCCTTCTTCCTCCTGGATTCAGGTCCCTGGGTACTGAGGGTGCTCACGTCCACTTCGCTCCCTGGAAGAGGAGTGCTCTCCACACCTACACCCCCTTCCTCAGAAACCTAGACCACCAGCTCCTCGTGTAAATCTCCTTCCTCTCCCGCTCCAAATCCGGAGTGGGCAGCCAAGGATTACTTATTGCAGAAGAAAACCCCAAAAGTAAAGGAGAAGGATCCCAACCAAAAGGTGAGAAAACAAAGGTGAGTTTCCTTGGGGGAATCTGAGACACTGCTGCGTCCATAAGACAATAACAGACTACTATAAAAAAGGATGAATCCGAGAGCAAAAAAGCTTCACATTTAAAAATACGACTGCCAAAAGAAGGGCATCCACCAAAGACCGAATTAGCACCCTGCAAGGCCAAGGACATCTCCCTGAACAAGGAGCACAAACGCTGAGATGGACGATATGAGGAAAATGGTTAAATTCCTGCAGTCCAGATGCAGCAGACCTGCGGTGGGCTGTGGGGGCTACGGTCTTCTCTTGTCTGGCCACTTTCCCACCAGCTTCTTCTGGAGGCTGGCCCTCCCCCTCTGGCACAGGCATGTGGGGAGGGGGCACGTGACCCAAAGAGGCCCAATCAGAGTCCACCTCCGGAGAAAGCCGGTTTCCTTATTCTCCGAGGTTGTTAAGCTGGGAGTGTGGGAGCCTGGAGCCTTAAGCGGCCCCCCCTCCCCAGGGCAGAGTGGCCAAGGGCCCTTGCCACCCGGGGAGAGAAAGGCGAGCAGAGAAGCAGAGTTGGGGGGTGGGGCGGTGAGGGTGAGGGAAGGAGGTAAAGAATGAGAGAGAAGCAGAAGAGCAGACCCAAAAAGGCTGGAGCCCATGGATTCAGCAGGGCAGGAATGCCCCCTTCCAGGAGCCAGCAGCTTCCCTGTTATGCTTAAGTTGGTTCCATCTGTGTTTCCATCACCTACACTGGAAACATTCTGATTCACGCTGGGTTCTTGAAGAACAGAGATAGGAAAGGAAGATGGCAGACTTACTAAAAGGCATTCTCCCAGGGGAGAATGACTTGACCTTGGTATTTAAGGGCTGCAAGATGCCACGTGGGACCAGTGAGGAAGAGTCCCACTGAAATATGTGCTGGTGATTGGGTGGAAGTACACTCAAACCAAACGGACACAGGTGGTCCCACCCCCGCAGCCATCAGGGGGTCACATTTAAAAGTCAGATGTCACTGTGAGCGCGCAGGGTAATGCGCAGCTTCATGCGCTAGAGGTGGAAGTATAAAATGGCAGTCTTTTTGGAGGATAATTCAAGAGTATCCATGAAGATTTAAAACAAGCACTTAAGTGTTTTTATAATGAAATACCAAATATATGCAGAAATGACTATTAAACACAGCTACAGCGTAAATTACATATATAGTTTGAAGAATAGTAAGAACACCTGTGTACCACCCTTACTCAGCTTAAGAAAATGAGTATGAGGGGCGCCTGGGGGGCTCAGTGGTTAAGCGTCTGCCTTCGGCTCAGGTCATGATCCCAGGGTCCTGGGATCGAGTCCCACATTGGGCTCCCTGCTCAGCGGGGAGCCTGCTTCTCCCTCTCCCTCTGCCTCTCCCCCTGCTCATGCTCTCTCTCTCTCTCTGTATCTCTATGTCTCAAGTGAATAAATAAAATCTTAAAAAAAAATGAATATGGGGGCGCCTGGGTGGCTCCCAGCGCACACGTGTGTGTTTCTCTGGGGGCGCCTCTCTGAGGGCTGATGCTGGGTCACAGGGAATGCACACACTTGACTTTAGTGGGTGACACAGAGTGCTGTTGAAAGTGATTGTACTCATTTCCAATCCTTTGGCACACAGACTAGAAGGATATTCCCTATAACATGACCAGTGAATTTTCTTTGGGCCATGGATTTTCTTTTCTGTAATTTCCAAATTTTATAGAATAAACATGTTTCAATACCCTTAAATTCCTTAATGACTATAAATCCTTCATGGCGTACAACATCCACATACTGTGACGAGGCATGGAGTGGGCTGTCATGGCTGCCCGGCTGCCCCCTTACCTCCAGGCCCCGTTTACCACCTCCAGCTCCAGGACGGTCTGCAGTCGCTGACACTGCTTGGCCTCCAAGGTGATGTTCACTCTGCACTCCCCCAGAGGGTGAATCTGCCCGCTTGAGGGCTCAATGTCGAAGGGAGATACCTGGTGTGGAGGTCAATCCAGAAGAATGAGGAGAGGACACTTGGAATTGCAGAACTGGCAGTTGGGTAGCCCCCAAGCTGCCCCACCTCCTCAAAGAGCTGCTAGGATGCAGGACAAAGCGAGCAGGGAGAGCAGGGCTCTTGGGATTAAGAGAACAAAAACCAAGTCTCTAAGTAAAGGAGAGGGTCCCCATGCACTGGCCCAGATCTGAGAGGTAGAGGGCAGCCCCAGTGTACAGGCATGGGTCAGGACCCTGAGGGCTCTAAGGACGGAAAACCATTGGGAGAAGTGTGATGCTTCCACGACCAACCGCCCTCCCCACCATTGCCCACTGCAGGCTTGAACCCCTTAGCCTCCATACCAGGCACAGAAAGGGAGAAAAGAAGGACAAAAGCTTAGGAAGAAGAATGCACCTGCAAGGGGGGCTCTCTACCCCAGTCTTCCTGTTCCCAACTGAGACAAGGAGCACTGGTCTGACTGAAGGGCCCCATGGTCACACTGCCTAGTGAGGGTGTCACTGAACATGGAAAGGTCACACCCTGGAGGGACGCTATCCCCTCTTTGGTCTCTTCATTCCAGGAGACTGAGACAGTGAGTGTCAGGCCCCTGCCTGGAGGGCAGCCTGCCCATCCCATGGAGGCCTGTGGTCTTCTACCCCCTTCCTCCCACCCAGACTGCCATGCTGGCCAGGTCAGGTCCAGAGTGCTTGTCTTGGGCTCTGTGCTCTCTTGCTTCTGACGGCTCACCTCCCCGGCACTGGTGGAAGGGAGCGGCTGGACTAACTCTCAGCAAAAGCGGCTCATGTGCTCAAGTCTGGGCCCCAAGCTCTGGTAGTAAAGAAGAGCCCCTTTGCTTTCCTTGGTCGTTGTTCCTCACATGTGTCTCCCCGGGAGTCCTGGGGGGATGCTGTAGGCCAGGACTGCGTCTCTGTGCCCCTGACCTGAGCACATCTAACAGACCCCAAATCCCAACATTATTTTTGAGAGCTCAAAAGAACAGAGTACAGAGAACTGTAGAGACAGGATTCGAACCAGGCTCAATTAAGACATAAATCTTAATATACTATGAAATTGACAGTTACTTCAATTATAAAAAATTATCATTCTTCACAGTGGGAGAAAAACCCAGATTGGGAATTAGAGAACCAGGATCTGTTGATTCCACCACTCACTAGCTGTGTGACCCTGGGGAAACCACTATCCTTCTCTGTGTCTATCCAATAAGGAGGCTGGCTGTGGTCTGTGGTCTGGGTAGCCCCAGAGTACGGTGGCCAGAGCAGTCACACTTTATTTTCCATCTTGGGCTTCTGCCTAAGGTTTCATTTGAAGAAAAGCTTCCTGCCTAAAGATATTGATACCACCCTGTCCCTGTCCCCATTTTCCACAGTTCCCAAATCCGAGTGGGGAGACCGATGAGCCTGGACAGAAAGTGCCAAACTCCAAGCCTGTGTAACAGGACATTTGGCAATGGTTCTTGGCAATGGTGTTGGTAATTTGATGCAATTTGTCCCAACTGCTAAGTTTCAGAGTGCCCAGCTGCAGAAATGAGGCCGTTGCCTAAAGGACAAGGCCGGTCAAGTGTAAAGGAAAGGTCCAGGAAAAAGGGATCGCCCACTGGCAGATACGATGGATCTGCGGCTGCACCTGTCTTTCCTGGGCTTCTGCATGTGGAAGGAGGGAAGGGCAATGTTCTGCCTCTGGATGGTAAGTGGGCAAGCAAGAGGGGACTTGGCAGGAAGCAGTCAGAAGGAGGGTGCTTTCACCACACAGACCTGGTCAGAGCGTCACATGGGCAATAAGGACCTAAGGCAGCTCCCAAGAAGTCACAGCTGCCCCGTGTATGAAGAGTGGGGGTGACCAGCAGTGACTCACAGCTACCCGCCGGCAGGTAGGAGTAACTGACGTTTCGTGCCAGTCGCTCTGGTTTTGCTCTGGATTGCACATCATATTTAAATGTGATGATGATGATGATAATACTTAATCACTTTCAGTGTTTTCTGTGTTTCTAGTTAAAAGGAAAGAGCTACTTGAGTGGAAATGTATGCTGGATTCTCCTGTTTGGGGCCGCAAGCCCGGCGCAAGTGCCCCCTGGTGGCAGGTACTCAAACTGCGAGCACAGTCCCTGGGAGGTTGGGAGCCTTGGGGGTGAGCCCTGAGGGTCGGACCCCCTCTGGAGGCCTGGGAGCTTCCGGCCCAGCTCAGCTGCCTATTTTCCTCCCAACTCAGCCTGCTTTGACAGAGGGAGAAACCCATGTCTTATTTCCACATCAGATGGTGGAGAAAGGAACAGTAAAATCCAGTTCGGGGTTAAGTTCTGCTGTCCGGGGGAGCCCACCTGCCTCAGAGATGGGGAGAACCGGGGACACTGCCAGGCAGGAGTGACGAGGCAGGCCCTTCCTGTCCAGCCTCAATGCTCTGAATGCGTCAGGACAGGTCTCCCTTCCTACACCACAGGTGGATCGGCTCCCGCGGGGGAGGGGCAGCAGTGCTGGGGCCAGCGGTGCCGGACTTACGCCCTCACGCCTCTCTTGGAGGCAGACCAGGCTCTCCCTCATGCACCACGTGGCCGGGAGCTGGCTGACGTTCTGGATCTGGATGGAGTCAGTGGCTTTCTGCCCCAGGCGCAGCAAACCAAACTGAAGGGCTGAGACGTTGATGACAAGGGCGGGCCCCTGAGACACCCAGAGGGGCCTGTCACTGGGCCGCCTTGGGAGTGGACTCTGCGCCCTACCCCTGCCACCCTGCTGGCCCACCGAGCCGCGCAGCACCCCCAGCAGCACCTTAAAGGCCGCCTCAATGTGTAATACCACTGGCGAGGGTGAGTTTTGGATTTCACACAGCAGGTCCTGGCTTGTTGGGCCAGGGACACCCCCAGTAAAGCTCAACTCAAAATCCTCCACCTCGCTGGGCTCTGGAAGAGAGGGGGAAGTGAGCTGGAGAAAGGGAGGGGGGCAGTTCCCCGCTGCGGCTGGGCCCAGATGTCTGGCCTCCGCCGACTTCTCATCCACCACACAAGCCAGGTTACAGCTGGAGCTGATCCCGGAACCCCCTGAACCCCTGCACAGGCCCCCTGTCCTCTCAGGTCACCCCCCCACCCAGCCAGCCCCAGGAGGTCACGCCCCCCCCCTCCCCACCATCCCTGCAGTACCTATGGTCCCCATGCAGGGTTCCACTTCAATGATGTGGCAGTCACTGATCTTCCCCCACAGGTATCTGATGGGGGACTTGCTGTTGTTCCACATCTGTAAGACACGCCCCAATCCAGGCTCCCCAGGCACCACCCCTGCACAAATCTGTACCCACCAAAGGACTGCGGGGCTATGGGCCCATAACGGGACCTCCCGACACCCTCCCAGCTATTTCTTGGCCATCCAACAGCACCGACACCACACGGCAGGGTTTGTGGGCACATATCCCACCGAAGACCCACAACCACAGGAATGGTCCCACAGCCCTATTGTTCGGAGGATGCTGGGGAGCTGGTGAAATGACAGATGTGCCCGGCCCATCATCGGTGCACATCAAGTCAGGTTCAAGAGCCCTGGGGACAGTCTCATCCTCTATGCAGTGGCTATCATCCACCCCTCCAGCCACATCCTCCCTATGCTCATGCCAAGTTCCGCACACTCCTGGCCAGCCTAGGCTGGGGGGAGACCATAGCCTACCTTAAAATTTTTCTTCACATTTATGCCAATGTAGTTCTCCCCGGGGATGATGAGGGCATACGGTTCTAAGAGAACCTGGAAAGGTTCCACTGAGCCTTTCACCTCGATGTCCAGGACAATCACGTCATCCACAGAGTAAGAAAAATCCTTCAGGTTTTCCTGTTCCAAGCTGAACACAAACCCACCGTGAGTTAAGAGCCAACACAGCCTGGGAAGATGGCTGGGAGCATGGCCCTGCATGGCCCTCACCTCTGTCCCTTCTCTGTGGTCTTGTGAAAAGAAAGCACTCCCCTACCCACAGCTCCCAAGCACCTCAAATCAGAGGCACGAGCCAGCCAAACAGTGATAGTACTGGGACGGGGTGCCTGGCCTGCTGCCTCCCGGGACTATGCCGTAGTGGTACCCAGCCTGGGTCTCCACATGAGGCTGACCGGAGACCCACCCTGACTGTCTGCCCAGGGGAGAGCTGATGGAGATGCCCCCGCCTCTCCTCCTTAGTCGCCACCACCCAGGGCCCAGCGGCCTGGCAGCCCGGCGCTGAGGCTAAGTGGAGCCCAGCGAGCCGTTCCCCGCAGCTGAGCCCCTCTGGGCCTAGGTGCCAGGGCAAGGCAGAAGCGCTCCCCTGTCAAGGCCTGCTGGGGGTCAGGGGGCTGCTTCCCTCCTTGCCGTCACCTTCCCCAGTACCCCCAAGGGGAGGGCAGGCCCCGCTGCCCACCCCTCATATAGGGCCCAGTCCCCACTCACTTCATGGGCTCTGGGACTTCCTCTAGCACCATCTGGAGCACACTGTGAAAATCCCTGGGCTGCAAGACAAGCACAGCACCCTGAAAACAACCTGCACTCCAATCCGCTGTACTGGAGAAGCCGGGAGCCATGGCAGAGAGGCCTTCCGAAAACCACGGCGCTGCTTCCCTACTACCGCCCTTACCCCAGGGAGGGAGGCAGCACTCGGGATGTGGGGCCGCCGCAGTCTCAAGGCTGGCGTTCCTACCTCAGCGGGGCCTCAGCGGACAGGAGGGACAGGCTCTCCAGGCCCTGACACTGCCTCTCTCGGCAGCGCCCTCAACTGTGGGAGGCACCACAGCTTCCCAGAACAGTAGGGCCAGATGTCGGCTGGACAGGCAGGGGAGTTCTCCCTTCACCCCCAGCTCTCATTTCCCCTCTCCTCACACAGGAGCCCCCTGTGGGAACCCGGCCCTCGGCACCTGCACCTCACTCTCTGGGGGAGGCCGGGGGCTGGGCAGAGATGCGACTGTCACTGACGCAGTGGAAACACGGAAGATGCCAGAGCTGAGGAAATGAGCCCAGGGTCCTGCTACAGGCAAGGTGTGTACGCCATCGGGACCAGGCAGAATAGGCTGCTTTGTCCTCCAGCCCCACTCTCAGCTAAGTGTCGGCCTCGGAGGATGCCGGGATCTCGTCAGGCTCAGCTGCGGCTTCAGTGTCACTAAAGGACAAGGATGGGGGCTGGGGGGGGGGTTGTGAAAGTGCCACGACCCCATCATGTGTGACTACCAGGATGGCATCGTTTTTACCTCATGAGGAGAAAAGCTCAGGATGAATTCATGGTCCGTGTGGGGGCTGAGAACCCCTCTTTCAGGCAGGATGGAGAAGGCCGTCTCCCTGTCAGGGTGGTACTTGAGGCTGTCCAGGCTGTAGGTTTCTTCAGGCATCAGGGGTTGCAGGTTAGGCTTCATGATCTGCCAGTGGAAGGCCAGCTCCACGTGCCTGTGGGGGCAGCGGATCTATGGCCCAATTTTGCCAGGCCCAGTCTTCTGACCCCCTGCCTGGCTGGGCCCCACTCCAGGAGTGAGCAGAAAGGACCCAGGATCAGGAAGTGGGGGAGCACATGGGTCAGGGGTCCACGCTGGAGACCTCCTAAGACAGCTTCCCTCTCTCCACTACAGCAGTTGGGGGTTAGAGCCATGGGAACTCAGGGAAAATGGTAAACACAGGGAATCAGGCTCTAACTATTAAGCTGTAGATATCCGGAACATTTTTTGCAGTGTCCGCTACCACGTGAGTTCCAGAGGTTTGCCCCCTGGACTCCCCACTCTACCACCCTCCACCCCTCCAGCTGTGGCCTCCCAGGACAGCTCTGTCCGGAAGGGGATGTGCCCACCGGCTCCCAACAGAGAAGTGACAACTGCACGGTGGTGGGGAGGCGGGACTCCAGCATGCTGCTGATGGGGAGGGATGGCAGATGGGTACTGCTCGTCACCTCAGGAGACAGACCCTTGTAAGGCCTGGGGTCACCACGGAAGGTCTGTCCTAGTTTAATGGCGGTGCTCACAGGATGGTCAGGAACCGAACCCACTGGTCACAATCTGCCTGATCTTGGAACTTGGCTGGCTTCCCCTCATGGGCAGGGCAAGACCTCTCTGCAAAACTGCTCTGGGCTAAGGATACTCCAGGATGATCTAGAACAACACTGTCCAATCTAACAGACAGCGGCAATGGTAATCTTACTTATCTGCTCCGTCCAATACGAGAGTCACGAGCTACACATGTGCTGGTACTTAAAATGTGACTGGTGCCACCGAAAAAGTGAGTTTTATTTTAGTTTTAATTGATTTCAATTTCGATAGCCACATGTGGCTACCGTGATGGGCAGTGCAAATCTGGGTTCTTCCATCTGGCCCTTGGAAGGACCCTCCGGCCTCCCTGGGAACTCCGGGCTGGGTGCGGAAGGAGAAAGGGTGCACGTTGGAGGGCGTGGCACAGTGTCACTCACGTAGCATTTCTAATAATCAGCTGCTTTCTAGCTGTGGACTGAAGGTTCTCGGGCTCAAAGCGTATGAAGTGTTGGGCTGTTAAGTCTGTGAGCTCTCCAGGCTCCGGCTGACTTTCTTCGCCAGAAATATAGATCAGATCCAAAGCAACCAGCTGCCCGATTCCTGACACAGTAAGATGGTAAAGTTTCACTGGGGCTGACATTAGGACTCTGTGGCCAAAGGCTGTCACAGGATCCATGCCACTGTCCACATGCAGCTGGCCTTGACCATGACCCCAGGAAGTGTACAAAGAGGGGAACAGGGGGCCATCAGCACACAGATCCTGTACCCGTATCTTCCCAGACTACAAGGAGGTGATTTTGATAACCTGGCCCATAGCAGGCACTCAGTTAATGCTTGCCAGGTGAAACTGGATGGAAGGATGGATGGACAGACAGATGGATGGACGGAAGGATGAACGGAAGGAAGGAAGGGAGGGAGGGAGGGAGGGAAGGAAGGAAGGAAAGAGGGAAGGAAGGAAGGAAG